AAAGCTCCAAATATGTAAACGTTCGTAAAATTTAGTGAAACAACCATTCCATGTACATCTAATGTCCAACTCGCCATCATGGAATAAATTTTAAATATCCAAAGGGATTAAAGAAAACTTAAAGTCCACACTCGTGACTGGTGCGGGAGATTGCGAATGACCAGCATATCAGAGCGATTGGTTTAATGGTTAGGATGGTGATACAAGTTTTCTTGATCAATCACAGATTGAAGTACAGCGAAACCAATGCAATCCCTACTTAATTTCAGTCCTCGGTGAAATTTGATTGTAACACTCAACTTCTGTGATATATTTCGGTTATCAAATTCTTGTTTTGGCCTGAGCCTAAAAGATTTGCTATTTCATTGGAAGTATCAAGTACCCTGTTGCGACCTGTTGTTCATTTGCCAAGCTCTCTTGTTTTGGTGCTTGGTTAAAAATCAGGTTTTGGCTCAAAAATCAACACTTGAGCCCTCCACAACAGCTCTGAATCTTCTGTTCATTCAAAAACATAAGCGAAAAATATCCAAGCTCTTTTTGTTTACTTGTCCTTGCAAGTTGGTGAGTTACACTGCAAAGTGCTCGTGTTTTACAACGGTGGAATAGAGTGGAGGTTTAGTAATTGCAAACAAGTACTAGGTTGATTCTGTTGTTTTCTGCACTGATTCACTGCAGTTTTTGGGGAATTAAACTGAATCAAAACCTTTGATGGTTTACTATATTAGAACAAAAACACGAGGCACTTTGAACTAAGAGATGCGAGGCGGCAGATAACAAAACTTTGCCAAAATCTCACGAAATTACACGCTTCTCTCAACTGCATTTCCCTCGGACACACTTTCAAGATAGGAAACTTTTCTTTTTGTAATAATTCACCTCTTCTATTTTGAAATTACGCACGACGATGTTATGAAAAATGTTTCCTTAGCACGGCAGGTCTAGATAGGTTTACAAATTCGCCGGAACATTGTGCTACGCTGCGAGATCCTCTATTTAATGCCTCATTAATTCATGAGTAAAATGCTACCAGAGAGTACACTGTGCTCGTGACGATGTTTTCCTTCTGCAGCAGATTTTTTTAACAAGATAGACAAATGTGAGCACTCAGAGGCTGTCTAAATGGTTACTGTCCGTTTATTTCATTTGGCCACATGAAAAATTACAATAAGGACAATAAAGGATAATTCAAAATCAGATTCACAGGAAAAAGTAAGAAGGAGGCCGAGAGGAAACTAGAACTAAGAATTGTGCCGAACCCAGTTATCTAAGTTGACTTCCTCAGTTACTTAAGAAGTACAAAATAAAGCACAAAACTGAAACTTAGCTGTCATTTATCCATGGAAAAACATGTTTTTTCGATAACGAGGTAAACGGAATGTTTCTGTGGGTTATGACATGCGAATTGGTTGTTTGGTTGGTGAAAGAAGGAAGATGGGATCTGATTTAAATACGCTTAATCCATAACAGTCAAAAAAATATCATTTAAACACTTCGTTAAAACAAAAACTTGTAACAGATGTTTCCAATGAATTGTCTGCGATATAGTAAATGTACTATCACTCCTGGTTTATGACCTGTCCATATTCGGTCAAATCCTCTTTTTGTATTTACAACAATCAACAATTCACAGTCAGGTGAGCTTGTCACCAGTTTGTGCTCGCCCAAGCTATCATTTATTTATCACAAGTCATTTTCACTGAAGTCAACGAGGAAGAACTTTGTAGGGATTCAGAATTCCCTGTGAAGATGAAAAAATTTAACACATTTGTCAGCACCTAACAAGAACAAACCGCTGACAAACCTACTGGAATTAGAAACAAACAAACAAATAATAGGATTTCAAAAAGGTTCAAGGACCTTCAAGCCTTGACGATCGCGGAATGGGTGATGAGGAGATATATCAAATAAACGTTACGTTAGAGCCCTTCATTATTATAACTGGAAAAGAGAAGACCGTGACATCGCCATAATCACAAATTTGTTAGCCAGCTTAGTATCACCACAGTTCCTCGAGGTACTCCCTAAATGTTTTGCTATAGAACCTACAGAAGCTAGTAAGTAATTCGGACAAGTTACCTTAGGGTCTAGAAGTTGTTTGATGTTTTTCATCAGATCTACTGATGGTGATGATTTGGAGTAATGTATATAATTTGCTTTCTTCAATCCCAGGCCGTGCTCCGCGCTAATGCTCCCGCCATGTTTTGCTGAAAAATAATGGCTACAGCTGTGCTCACGTCTACAACGACTCAAGCATTTTCAGCAGAAATGCGCTTTCCTGTATTGCAGAATTTCTCCAGTATAATAAGAAGCAAACCTAATTACTCCTAGATAATTTTGGTTTTATCAACTGAGCTGATAATATACATCGACCAACGTGAAGAGTTTCAAAGCTGACGTTTAGTGGTAGTTAATAACAAAGAAAAGTAGAAAAGGAACTAATTAGCTGGAGAAGGAAAAATGACTTAACTGTGGTTAAAGATGAAACAAACCTGTCCACTGATAAACATAGGGCTCAATGGAATCTAACACTTGTTCACTGAACTCTGGAGTTGTGAAATTCAAATGTAAGTTGCCTATGAATGAGAAAAGACATTGCACCAGTTGTTGCTAAAAAGTAAGACCAAACATGATTAAACAAAGTAACTCTCTTACAGGTATTTGAATTACAAAAGGGAAAACTTTGTAAGGGACAAACTCACACATCCAGAGATACACAAATATTACTGAAATAAACCAAATAGAATACTAGAAAATGGAGACTTGAGAACGCTATCTTGAGTTTTTTTTTTGGCAAAAAACAAACTTTATCCTGTCAATAAAGTCATATTTGGTTAAGAAATGACTAACGTTTGGATACAGTTATTCTTTGACAGAGTCAATGTTGTATACATATAAATCACAGTAAACTGTGAGTTCCTTTGAGCATTCCCCTCACTCATCTGATTGAACTTTGGGACTGACTGATATTCAGAAACTTGAACCATTTCCAACAAGGTATGGAGACATTCCAACGTAATCATGTGTATTTTCATACCAGGATATGTGGGGGCCTTAGGGTCATGATTGACAGGTCTGGGTTTAAAACCTTTAGAGATATTTTTGTTTCGTAAAGATGTCAAGAGGCAATGATATCATCCTTTCAAAGTGCCTTCCCTCCATTCAGGAGACAATGGGTTTTTAGGTAAAGTAGGAATTCTCCTTGTTTCATGCTTTAAAAACTGTGATGAACTCTGACAGCCATGCAAGTCAGTCTCTTATACAGACTTCAACATTACATTTTTAAAGCTTAAGGGTAATAACACTTACAATCTCCAAGGTGGCCATATCCAACACAGTTAGTCACCAGGTCACCAAGTCTTTCTCTCATGTGTGACACAAGCTCATACATTTTTGGCAAAGGGAGTGACAGATCATACTAGGAACAGAAAACATATCAATCATATGCATGCAGTAATTAGCAGTGCCAAAAAAGTTGCCATTTCTTGGTAGTATCATAATGCAGAAAAAACTAAGAACAGCTAATCAGTACAAAGGTAAACAGCAAATGAGGCAAAATTCATGTCACTGTTTTGTGATTGGTTTTAATGTTGTACTTGATGAGCTGAAAAAGTAAATCAAGTTTTTAGACCAACCACAGTTGCAAAAGTCAGAGTCACCAGTAACAAAGTAATGGAGTCTCAAATATAACTTTCCAAACTTTGAATAACAGAATCACTTTACTGCAGCAACTCACAACTCAAACAACATTGACAAATGTAGAATAACACCAACGTTTATGCAAAATGACACACAATCTTCAATGATGCTTCTGTTCAAAATAAAATGGTTTTCAAGGTGATTCTACAGCTTCATATTGTTGACAAATTTTGTTCAGTCTCATGCATTTCTGCTAGATCCTCCAGCCACTGAGCTGGTGAGCCCTGTGTATTAATTGAATCAGATTCAACTTTAAAGCCCTTCTTTTTCAATCAAAATGCCTGTACTTTTTCACAAATATCTCACATGACATTAATGTATTTTAACTTACCTTGTAAGTTGTTCCACAAAGTGTCAGGCTCTCTGATATTCTTTCGCGTATATCCCAGACTTCTTTCAACTAAGTTGGGAAAGATGTTCTTGAACAGATGTAACTAAATATCATATGGAAAGTCTCTTCAAATATAAAAGTAATTAAACAAATCAACAGAGAAACTAACCTTTGACAAATCTGTTGCCAGAGTTCCATCCCTTGCAATTTTGTCAAACATAAGTTTCTCCAGAAAGAAATTGAGTTTCTATAAATACAAATAATATATAATAAAATATAATTATTGGACAAGCCATTATTGTGAATACTCTAATAAGGCCACAAATAGCATGTTCACTTTCAGGGCTTCAAGAAGGGGACTTGCTAGAGGGAGAGGGGAGGGGTAGAGCATTTATTGAAAACATTACACTTTAGAGAGGGTGGGTTCTTAGAGAGTGGCACTCAATAATGTAAAGTTTTTTTGCAATTTTTACATTTGTGGTATTCACATACAGTAGAAAAGCCATAGCATTTATTATTGCTTTATGGAATCTAAGGAAAGGGCTAATGCCATTGTATCCTTGTGCAACAGTAGCCTAGATACCTCACTCCCTTGTATCTCAAATTATGTTTTCTGATGGTTCTGGATCATGACTGAGTCAGCCACAATTATCCAACAGGGGGTCTTAAATCAGTAACTCATTTGAGACTAGGAGCATACCATGACTTTTACCTGTAAATTACTTTTTTATACAAGGAAGGAAGGATCAAAGGCACCCTGTGATCCACTGCAGCTCTATTTGACCATGATCCTGAAACTCATTCCAAAGATTGTTACGACATCTTAAGACTAACCTCTTCATCGTGGGAGCTGTTAGAGCCTGAAGTCTCTATTAACACATAAAATGGCTGCTTACTGATGGGATTATGTAGACCAAGCTTTGTTTCCACGAGATTCATGCAAAAATCATCTAGAAATTCGAAGGCTGTAAAAAAGCATCAAATTGTTACTGTAAGACTCATGAGACCATGAACATTTCGACATTTTGATTTGATTTTGATCGTTGAGTCTCACACTAATAAATCACAACACAGTGCAAGATGCCCAAACAAACCTCAAAATTGGTGATCTTGGTGGTATAACAGAAAAACTAAGAAAGTTACCAGACAGAATTTCCCCCAACATACTCCTTGCCAGTTTGTATGTACTAAGAACATCAGAGAAGGTGGCACAACCAAGAAAAGTGACATTGAGAGCCTGCAGAGGAAGATCCATTTAAAAATTATTGGAACAAATTATGAGAAAAGGAGTAGGAAATGTGAGGTAACTAAGGAAAGATTAACTTAGATGCTTATATTAAAAGGTATAAGGGTAGTTATCTAATAACCCATTTTCTCAAATAATGTTTCATTTATGAGGTGAAATATTTTATCACATATTTATCATCTACTTGACTACTGTATGTATTTATATTTATTTAGTGTTCAATAACCTTTGGTCTGGGTGGTATCAGGATTGAAGCAGTTGTTATCACACCCAGGTGGCCTTCTGATCCAATGAACAGCTGTTTTAGATCATACCCTGAAAATGATGATTTTCTTTATAGTGAAACATTTTTTAGTAGGTATACCTTGTAATTTCTTCTCTATATATTTACATCTAGTACTGATGCAACCAAAGGAAGCAATCTGTCCAACTACAGTTTGAGTGTTTCTTTAATTTAGAAAGATAATTCATAAAATGAAAAGTTAAGTTTGGTCAGTCAGACTTAAAGATAACAATTGTTGATGACAAACTCTGTTAGTGCTGGAAATTGTAAGTGAACAACTAAATTGAGATTACAGACAATTTTTTTGGCACTAAATAATTTTGTACTAAATATGTAGAAGTATGCACCGGCAAAACTCAGTAAACAGGTGATATTTCACTTTTTGAAACAACTTAGATATAACAAACACCCTAATTGGTCAAAAACCTATATTGCACCAAACCCACACGGTTTACTACCATAATAACCCATTTTGCATCTTAGGAGAACATAAGAAGAATTTCAAAACCACTTGCCTCTGGCTTGTGATTTATTATCTTCCCTAATGTTCATTCTCCTCTCATTCGGTAAAACAATAAAAAGTGCAGTCTATTGCTTAAAAATAATTTACAGAAAGTATTTACAAATTGACAGTTTCAACAAACCTGTGTTGTCTTTTAACATTGATGAAAGACAGTCAAGTATAATACCATCAGGAAGAACCTGAACATTAACAAAAAATTCCATATCATTCCATTGTTTGTCATTCAACAACAGAAACACCAGATAAGAAATAACAATGTACAGCAAAGAAAACTATTATGGGTTATGAGCAACTGTTATATAATTTGTTGCTCCTTCATTTTAAGTGCTGTCTGGCTGTTTGTCTGTTTGCTTGCTTGCTTGTCTGTTTGTTTGTCTCTCTGTTTATCATTCACTGATTCACTAACCCACTCACTAGCTTGTTAATTCATTCTGTCTTTTCTTCAGTTATCAATTTTTTAACTTCGGCAATGAATGAATAAAACAGTAATTACCACTTCTAGGCCTAGAACATTGCCATGTAAGCATCCATACCTCAGACGTCTCAAACCACCAGCATTTGTTGCAATGTTGCCACCTATATGACAACTGCAATGTGAAAAAGGAAAAAAAGGAGAGAAATCAACTGTTAAAATCAGTCACAAGAATACAGAGAATTGTTTCTTCAGTAATGATTGTTAAGTAAGTTATGATCTACTCTAAGAGTCATAACAACATCAGGTAAAGCTCATGTAGGGAATAAATATCATCTGTGATTTGAAATTTTAACATTTAAAATAGGTTACTATGACTTACACTAGTTTACTTTATATTTTGATTCAAGAAAAACAGTATCCACAGGACCACAAGTAAATGACAAACCACTCATTGTCATGCTACAGTATGCATACCTTCCTTTTGCTCCCAAGTCCAGTGGCATAATAAAACCATGATCTTCCATTAATTTGTCCAATGACTCTAAAACACAACCAGCTTGACAGACAAGGATACCTAATGATACATAGTAAATATCTATTGAGTTGTGGGTAAAATTATTTGTGAACAACTTATTGTTACTTTGTATACTTCTGTGGTCTTGCATGGTTGTGACAAGTTCCCTTTAGTAGTTGATCCTTATTTTTACATGAGTATAAGGCAGGAACTTAAATAAGTATAAAAAATGCCAAGCCTGATATGATTAGAAGATTCAATTTTTACCTGAAACATCATCAAAGCTCAATACTTGGTTCATTAATGATGTGGATAATATTATTTCATCAAATACTGGCACACTGCCACCTGTTGAAGTTGTGAGAAAGTAAAGGTAAAATTAGAGTTATCATTGCATATTAATTAAACAGTGTCTATTTCTGGGATTCTGAGTGACTTTAATAAGTATAAGAAATGATAAGACCATCTTGTTATTTACCCCAGGTAGCGAAGGCTGGGTACAAAATCAGAGACATTACATACTTGCTACCTTGTTATAAATACCAAAGTGATTTAGCACATGGCTTGACATTTGTATACATTAAAGAAGGCCTCTATTTGTATTGAACAGTTGGGCATTCTATTGTTGCCATCACTCATTTCAATAACATGTGGCTTTACCTCCTATAGGAGGCAGTAGCCACAAAAACTAACTCAAGGTAAATTGTTTAAGATACAAAGGCAGTTCCTTCACTGTCTTCCTTTAAAGTCTTCTTCATGTACAATATGCTACTGCACATGTTTTATCAACTTGGCAGGGATGTAACTTACCAACTAATCCAGTGTTTCCTCCTTGAGGGACTACAGCTAATCTGAGAGACCAAGAAAAAGGTATTCTCACAATTCATTCACCAACGGCATTTTGACCTGATCTCTATTCTTAACCCAAACACTGAGAAACTGCATACATTAAAACTGGAAAGCTGCAAAATTTTAAGGTTTGCACCTGGATATGTTGTATATATTTCTTACATATACATCAGCAGCAATAGTACTAGTGTCACTAACCTGCGTGAGTTGCAATATGCCAAGATCTGAGAAACTTCCTCTGTAGTTTTTGGTTTCAGTAGTATTTTGCTTGTTCCTCTGTATCAAAAAAAAAAGGGAAATTCTCACCAGTCAGCAATCTTCCCCAGTAATTCTCTTGACTCCCAAAACTGAAATCAAAACTACACTAACTGTGATCACAAAGTTAATATCAAAACAGTGCTTATTTAAATGATGTTTTAGGTACAGATGGTATAAAAAATCAGCAATTACATTTCAACATGCAAGGCCAATAAGTGAGTTAAATTTGACAACTGATGGCTGAAATAATCAAACTCAAGAATACAGTAATAAAATCTTGTTAAAAGTTAGTACAAAAAATTTACATTCATTTATGAAAAAATATATTCAGTAGTATACTCTGACCAAACTTCTTAAAAGATAACACAAAAAATTTACAGTGTGAAAAAAATCTCCTCAGTAGCATACTCTGACCAAAGCTGCTTAGGATATTTAGCCTAAAGTACATGTACAAACATTACAAATATTTCAAGAAAAGAATACATTTAATTGGATGAAAAAAGTCTGTCGTATACATTGTGGAATATCATTATAGAAATCTAACCAGTAAACTAGTTTGAGTGGCCATTAATGACAAATTACTACTTTAAAGGTCTTACTTGTATGCACAGAAATCCCAATAAGAAAATTAAAAGTTTTAAAATGATAATGATTTAATAATGGTAAAAGGACTGAGTGGAGTCCATTTCGTCTGTAATCATACAAGTGATTAACAAAATTGGATGACCACAAAGTGGGAGTCTGATTTGTTCATCACAAGTATCACTACTGACAGAATTGGACAACAAGAAATCCTGTTAGCAATTAATCATAATCATTTCAATTTCCAAAAAAACAAATACACCTAGAACAAATATCTCCAGTTGAGACAAACTCTTTAGTTAAATATTTTCCCATTTTGGAAATAGCCTTGTTTTTCTTTGGATAAGTGGTTGTTGCTATGGTTATTGTGATTAATTCTGTGATTGGTGGATTTAGCCAAGTGGACCTAGTATGATTAGCTGCTTCAACTGTCCAATTACAGGTGTTTGATTACAGCCAACTATCTGATTTTACTGTCTGATTACAACTGTACAGAATGATTAGTGAAAAATGAAGCAGCTGATGCACCAATCACATTAGAGGAAATTCTAATGGTTATGATTAATACATCTTTACCTGACCATTTTAAGCCAGTCAACATTATGAGGTAATATTTCATCCAGATTTGTAACAACTCTTGAAGGAACAAATGTCTCAAAAGCTCTTATATCTTCATCTGTTACCTATATACAGCAAAGTTAATAAAAGAAGTAGTATATTACTCCATGAACAACCCTGCTAATTTCTCCTGAAATATGCTATAGTTACTTGATTAAATACTGCTCTGTGTGAAATTCCTTTTTTGATTCAGGTGCTGTTGTTATTTTAGGGCAGAGCTTATCTGAAGAAAACACCTTAACAGAAATCCTCAAATTTCTATAAATGATAACAAAGAAATGTTAAAGTTAAAAAAGGGAACAGTTTGATACACAACCGTTCATTATCTCCTTTGGGTAAAAGAACTGAGCTTCCCCTTTGCAATGTTGGCTAAAATATAATTTTAAAAGTCATTCTCTTCTTCATGGCCCAAATATATCTTACATAATATATTTCCAAAAATAAACACCATATTCTATGCTTATTTGAAAGAATATTCATCAAATATTTTGCCTTTACAATGCTAAGCCTGAACAGGGATGTTGCATAATAAGAAGGTAGCACTCAATTTAGAAAAAATACAAAATCATGGAGTCACTGTTGATCCTTGCAATCAGATTGGTCCACAACAGTGCAATTGAAAATATGTTAACCCTTTAACTCCCATGAGTGATGAAGACAGAATATCTCCTAACAATATCAATACAATATCAAGTAGATAAGTGGTGAGAATAAAGAAATATATCAATTTGGGGATAATTAGTTGATCCAATTCTAAATTCTCTGAACTGACATTATAAAGATTGTATGCTTGACATTAGGGAGAATTACAAATTTAATCTGGGAGTTAAAGGGTTAAAGTTCACATAGCAACCAGGTGGACAGTCAGACATGGTTTGATGCTACTCTGGTTTAAAGATTTAATGAATGTAACCAAGAAGTTAGAATTCATAGACCCAATGTTTTGACACTCTTGTCTCATACCTTCATCAAGGGTGATCTAAACGCTGCAACAAGAGGTCCTTTTATACACTCATGGTGCAATTTATTCACCAATCCCACCAGTTTTTGCTCTGAATCACTTATTTCCCCTAACCAATGAGAACTAAACACTACAATGAAACAACCAATCACATTCCAGTAGCATGATCTATTCAAAAATCACTTTCCTTCTTTTTACCCATTTTCCCCTACTGGATCAACAAATGTTGATACAAACCCAAATTAACGCACTTTTTTTATGAACCTTGCCATAATGTATCACCATGTGTAAACAATGGTAGATTTAGAAGGGGAGGCCCTGTAAAGTAAGGAGAGCCTGGCTTTGAGAACTAATTTTTGAAAATTCGAGATCTTGGTGTGTAGACCAGACTGTAAGGGTGGTTTGGGTACAGGTGTTGTGGGGTTAGAGGGGTGAAGTCAAGGGTGGGGTCAGATTAAATCAGAGTTAGAGAACACTGTCCCTTACCTCCGAGTATTGTCCTCTTTTAAGCCCTGGGTATCGGGTGCTCGTAAGTTCAACCTGTTTGGATCCTGTTGCGTAACTGCGTTTGATGTAACACTTCAGGGTTGCTGCTGCTCGTTTTTGCAAATGTCTCATTTTCCAAACATTCATTAGCTGTTTAAGGACCTCAAGCTCAAAGCGCCGGCCTCATAGAGATTAACTTTTTTCCCTCGCACGATGTGCAGTGTGATCGCTTTATATATTTCTTAGCTTACAACAATTATTCTCGTTTTAAGTGTGTTTTCGAACGGTGCCTGATGGGTCAGAGTCGGTCTGAAGTCGAAATTCTAACGCCCGCGATACAAATAACGTTTATTCGGAAACATAAGCTTCTAGATATGCGTGCGGTTATTCTCTTTTTCAAAACCACTGCCACCAATATTATGGACTCAATGTTCGTCACTTTAAGTACTCCAGCGATCACCATACTGTAAGGCCTGAAGTTGATTCGTTTTGGTCTTTAAAGGAACAAGATGAACATTCTACCAAAGAAAAGGTAATTTAGAAGGTCTTAGAGGACTTTTCGAGCCTTAACAATAAAGTATCTCATAAAGCTAGTATCAGTTTTAGTCCTTGAGATGTTCGCAAGCTGAAAACGTTTGATGTTACGTTTAATGAAGTTTGTTTTCTCTCGATTCCAAGAAAGATTGACAGGTTATTTTTTAATGATGAAATATTGAGTAGTTTCTTGAAGAATTTGTTGCTTTAAGGATTTTACTTTGCTCTTATTTAAGTAAGGAAATAAAATTTATCATTAATGAAGAAGTATCTGCATTTATTGATTTAGCTGGCATGTACGTAACATTGATAACATTGAACGCGTGCGTCGTGATGAAGAAAATGCAAGATTAGAAGAGGAAGAACGGGAAAGGAGACGTTCTTTAGCCGTGAGTGCTGTTTTTTGTATTTAAGTGTTGCCATACGAGGCAGATAATAATGTTGTAGAATTTTATTTCTAGCGAGAATAAGTAATAAGTTAGGGTCAATATTAGGTTAACCATCAACCATATCTTAAAAGCTTGATGTTGTTTATTGTTTTGTTTTTGTTTCAAGGAACAAGAGGCCAGAACAGCCCTTCTACGGGGGCGTGCCAGTGGAAAGCAGCTTAAAGATGGAGTATCACAAGATAATACTGTTGTTTTTGTTAAAGACAAACCACAACATCTCAATTTTTTTGCTGACATTGAAGAAGGAGTGAGTGATATAGTAGCTCATAATATTACTAAAGTTTCTTACATAGCACTTCATGGTTCAGCAAGTTTTGAATAGTTATTCAGGGATATTTTCTAGCGGATAGGGGTTTGAGATAATGTAAACTAAGGTATTCATCATGCAGAGTAATGAAAGTCAATATAAGATATGCAGTTGTTTGTGCTGAGAAAATGTGGTGTTAACTTCCAAAAAGTATTTCTTACCAATGTATCCCTTT